ACACAGTAGAATTGGAATTTTCTTTCTCTCAATAAGTCTAAAAAATATTTTAAAAATATATATAAATGTATTGATTTAATTTTTAAATAAATTTAAAAGCTTGAGACATCTTTATATAAAATGTCTATAAATTCATTATGAATATGCAGTCTATGAATATTTCTGCATGGAACAGAAGAGTAAATTCTGTCTCTATTTCATCTAAGTCCAGCTCCCTTTTCTTAGCTTCAAATCAAGTTAACAATATTTTATTTTTAACTTAGCGTCAATCATACACAAGTTGTTTCTTACAGGAATCTCAATCTAAGCTTTCCCAACCCAACACTTGCTGCTCAGCTGACATTAGTTTCAACATCTTTAGCTTAAGATTCATGTAAATATTTCACAGGCTGTCAACAGCCTCCGACTCAGACTCAGACTCAGACTCAGGCTCACAAATCTCTACATAGCAACATTAGTCAGTCAACAAAATGTCAATTTGAAGAGCCAGTCATGACGTTCTTTTAATGTTGACAAACTGCTTGCCAGGTTTTTGGACTTCCATTTAGGCTCAACCATCGTCTTCGGCATCGCCATATTATCGCAGATTGAAGTTCTTCAAATAATTACAACTTGTTCGCACATCATTCACGTTCAAGAGAAGTGCAAAATAAAGTATCTGTCAGCACGTCTGTTGAGCCTGTCCTCGACCCGCTGCATAGCCTCGCTTTTATTTGTTTGCCAAATGACGAATGTGCCCGACGATGAAGATGATAATGATGACGAAAAGTTGGTTAAAAAAAAAGGAGGCGACACTTGGCTCATTTATTTGTATTTTGCAGTCGGCAAAATTTCAAAGTCGGCATCATTAACAGCCATGCGCCATTTTGTGTGGCACACGGCTGAGTCTTTGGAGCCCCGACTTACTTGCGAGGCGATGAGTCGTACTGTTGATTGATGCAGCATGTAACATTGTGGCCAGTCGCGTTGAGTTAAGTGCGTTAACCAAATTGTTAAACCAGGCCAGCTGTTAACTGTCTGCTACCCTACTAAAAAAAAGCAAACGCCCAAAGGGTCTCTCTCACTCACTCTCTGTCTCTCTGGTAGACTTGTTGTCTTAGTGTCGTTCGTCTATGCTAATTTGTTATTTTAAGCATGTTTGTTTGCTTTTCCAATGAAAATATTGACAAGAAAAAAGGTTACGTCCCAGCAGCAGCAGCAACAACTGCAGCATTGACACCTGAGGCAAAGATGTTGCTATGTATATATATAAATATAAATATATATATATATATATATATATATATATATATATATATATATATATATATATATATATATATATATATATATATATATATATATATATATTTAGAGTCATGCTGGGGGTAACGGCAACAACAAACAAGCAAGCCAATTAACGCAAAAGATACAATTTGAATTCTTAATGAATTTCGTATAGTTTCTTAATTTGGCCAACTTGCTGAAAGTTGAAATTTTTAAGCAAAAATAATTAAAGTGAAATATAAAGAATTAAACAAGAAATAGCCAAATTCATTTCCAATTTCTCAGTAAATTAGCTACTTACATAAAATAATAAATAATAATAAAATAAGCAAAATAATAAAATAAACATTATTTATTTTTAATAATATAATTATAATAATATATAATAATAATAATTATACATTTTTATATACGTCACATTAACTAACTATATGAATTTACAAATGATTTTTATTAATTTAATATTTAACAAATAAAAATTATTATTATATTTGTCTAAAAACAACTTTTTTAAGTGATATTTTTGTTTGTCTCTTTTTTAACTTTTTAAATTCTTTTAATTTTTGAACTTTTTAAATATTTTTTTAAGTTTTATATTTTTTACTTACATTTAAAATGTGTAGCTTTTCTTAGAACATTTTTATATGCCATATCATAGATTTAACTTATTAGAAAATTTACTTTGCAGCCAATTCAATACATTAACATAATTAAAAACTAAATTTTTCTCTCAGTTATCTTTAAAAAAACAATTATTTCATGGCACAATTCGAAGCTGTCATAATTTAATCTTGTCTAATAATGCATCAGCACAAATTTCTGATTCAGATTTATATTGCGATGAGCATATGAGGCAGAGTTAATGAGAGAACAGGAATAGTGTCTCTTAGTTATCTATCGAAACGTGATTGTAGTAGACACTATAATCAAAGATCTTCCGTTTCCCCCTCTGATAGTTGGCATATGTTATAAGCGGGCTTTTTCAGTTTGACATTCCGCCACCCTCGGCTGTAAGTTTCCCTTTATCAGGAGCAACAGATCAAATGGACTTTTGGGCACATTTTGTTGCATTTCATTAAAACGAATTGGTGCCGCCTGTTGCCTGCCAAATTTTCCCACGTTTGACGCCTACCTATGCCAGCTACCACGCAATGCAGCGCCAGGTCGTGTTGCAACACTTCCGTATATGAAACTGTTGTCACCGGAAAGGTAAATCACGATTTTGTGTAGTTTTCGCTGACCGCGCAACAAGCGGAAATTTCATTTTGGGGTGAAAATTATAGAAAATATGCGCGCAGCTTTTTATTTCAAGTTTTTCCGCGCACACCATTTCCACCCCGAATGATAAATAATTATAATGCCATTGGGTGGTGGTGGTGGTGGTGGTGTTATTACAGTAGCTGCCAAGTGCTTGGCTTTCCCTTTGCCTTGGCAGCAACCACCGCGAATCGCGGCCGTTTAATTGCATTCGATATGCGCTTTTGGGAAATTTCCCACGATTTTCGTGCTAGATTTTTCCGACAAGCTTGGCTGCTGGCCCTCCCTCTATACCCTTTCTCTCTCTGAGCTCATCAACATATTTATAGTTATAGGGCTTCTCATACGCATCATAATCAACATTCTGCCCGCTGATTGTTTTCGCGAGTGACCGCGACGGCAGGAAAGGGGTTGGGGGTTGATCGTAGCAATGCCCTAAATACCTACACACATACACACACACACACTCACACGCGCACGGCTTGGACAACGGTTAGGATGCCTTAGCGTAGTCTGAGATTTGTGTGACTCATAACGAGTTTTTCGTTTTGTTCTAAATACTTTTTCTTTTCGCCTCGCTTGGACTTTAAGTGGATCGGCATGCAGATCGGGCCTTGGAATCGGCATCGGCATCGGCGTCGGAATCGGAATCGCGCAGGCGCTGCTAATGCCTGGCCATTGTTCTTTGGCAGCTCGCGAACGCCTTGGCATCCTTTGTTTAGCGCCAGCTGCCGCATTGTTTTGCCCCTGGACAGCGGCGAGCGCCCATTAATCCAGTTCTTTCTTCTTGTTTTTTTTTTCACTCTCCTAAGAGGTTGAGGTAGTCGAGGATTCAGTTACGCCAGCTTAAAGCGGCGTCCAATTGAGGCAAAAGATACCTTATGTAAATTTTGTTCTTTAAGTATTATAGTTACTTTTTTCTTAATCCAGTTTAAATCGATGCGCGAATGTCCTTTCGAAGGCTAGAAAGGGGTGACATCTGTAACAGAGAGACATTAGTGGAAAGGTGATAAAAAAAGACTGCGAAATGTTTGCTTTTCGGCTGAGACTACAGAGTTTATGAAAATATTATTTATAAAAAATTTTTATTCTTCTATTATTTTAGTTTAGAATTTTCGGTTCTCTATGTATTTACCTTCTTAGTATTTTATACTATATTCATTAGCTTTAAATTATTGTAACTTTATTATTATATTAGCTTATTCTAATTTAGTTCTAAATTTTTTTATTTCTTACTTTTATTTTATTTATTAATTTAATTGACCTTGAAATATTTGAATATAATTAAAAATTAATATGAGTTTGCATTGCTTACTTATTATTTATATTTTCATTTAACTCTAGAAATATATATTATTGTATATTATTTATTATCTAAAAAATATTAAACAAAATCAGTTATTTTTAAGGAATGCCCAAATTGCAAATATATTTTTGTAATACCAATTATGATTTTTTTTTGTTGAATAAAAGGTTTTTTGAATAACTTCTGTGATTCCCAATGTCTTCTGTTTTATTTAATGTTTATTTAAGTATGAACATTTGGCAGTTTTAAAATAAAATTTAATAAAGTAAGGAAACGTATTGGCAACAATATTTATACAGCTGCATATATATATATGTATATATACGTACATTCTTCATGAGTTTCCGCAGACAGGTCTAAAAATGAAGCTAAGAGCAATATTTATTTATCAAAAATTATTGATTGTTCAAAAGTCATACGGAATTATTAAGCAATTATATAATTATTCATGGCTTAGCATAATATATATATATAGATATATATATAAATATATATATAGGTATATTCTATCTCTTTAACTCTCAATATCTATTTCCCTCTCTCTTTCTGTGTTTCTATTTCTCTCTCTGCCTTTCTCTATGTCTCTTCATATCTCTCTCTCTCTTTCTCACCTCTCCCCCTATGCTTCTCTCTCACTCTACCTTTTCCTCGTCCTCTTCCCTTCTCTCTACTTACCCGCCTCTGCCCGCCATTCCCTCCCTCCCCTTCTCTCTCTCTCTCTCTCTCTACCTTTCCCTCGTCTCCTCCGTCTCTCTCTTTCTATACTCTTCCCTCTCCCTTACTCTCTTTCAATCTCCATACAACTTTCTTTTGTAGTTATATAATCTGTTCTGATTGACACCTTTTTCTGATTTGCAAGCTGTGCGCTCAATGTAATTGTAATATTTTCACAATATGAATTGTTTCAATTGAGTCACCTGTTTATTACTGTATAAACAAAGGCCAGACAATCCCTGTCTACAACAATTGAAATACGCTTTCAGCTTCTTATTTGTATCACTTGAATTTACATTGTGTGAGACGCACAACACGCGCTTCCCACTCAACTCAATTGAATCGAATGTGGCAAATACACAAATATATTATTTTTATCAGAAGACAAAGCGATTGTTAACAACAGCTGCTGCAACTCCTTCAGCTGAAATCAACTTTTGAGATATTCAGATCAAAAGCTTTGGTTTTTATTTGTCATAGTGCATAACACATCTGCATATATTTGTTAAATTACTAAAGTATTAAGTCTTGAAACCACTCTCATTCATCCAGTTGAAATCGATCACTTACGTAATGCCCTGTGGGTTACAATTTTCACAATGTCCAAAGGCAATTCATGGGTTCTTTTACATAAATTTGCCTAGATCCAAGCTACAATGAAGACGATATATATTAATCAAGTTATATATATATATGATTGTTGTAGTTACTTTTGGGATAGATCTAGCTGGCATTGGCCTAAGCTTTCATATTGCATGCCTGAGAGCGAGTAGTAGTCGCGGAAATTGAGAGAATGCGCTCGTGGAGTATCATTTGGCCAAAGAAAAGCAAGACACTGAGAAAGATATATTCATTTTTGGGCACATCGGACTGCCGGTCATGTATAATGGTGGCCGTGTACGCAATCATTGTGATCGCTGTGAATCCGAAGTAGTTTCGCACTATTGTAAATATGGTATCGTTGTTGATTATGAACGCATTTAGGAAGAACAATATCATCATAATGTTGGCAATTGCGACACCTAGGCTTAGCATCAAATCACCTGGCACCATACGCATTGGAAAGTACGCTCCGTAGAAGATAGATGTAATTACCAGCATGAACACAATTGTGACAGCATAAATATTGACCATATAACCCCGAGTGTTCTGCTGCTCGACCGCAATGTAGAGCGTCGACGATTCCACAATAATTATAACGAGCAACACGTTCCACGGACAACGACGACCGCACGGCGTACAGGACAGCAAACAGATGCCAAAAAACGTGGCCATCAGCCAAAAGCCATATCGTTCCTGTGGAATTTTGTATTTACGCCAATCCGTGAAGTATCCAATGAGTATCCACTGAACCAGCGCCACTACGGCAAATACTACGCTCAGCAAATAGATGCGAGCCTCATAACTTAAATTTTTGTTCGGCGGCATTCCATATACGTCCACTTCGCGGCGATCCATTCGTAAATTTGCTATTATTTATAAATTTGACAGTACAAATTAGTCCTTGAAAAGGGGATCCTAACCAGGGCATTAACGAGTTTATCAGCGTAAAAAACAATAACAATTTAAACCAAAAACAAGATTTTATAATTTTGACACTCGAGCTACATGATTGAAATGATATTGACGAGTTTTTGTTTGTTTTTTTTCTGTTGGTTCTGGAGTACTTTCGAAAGAAAGAAGAGAATCTGGACTAGGATACATTATATATATGTAATATATAAAATATATATGCATATATATATATATATATATATATATATATTATATAAAATGTATACATACATATATATATAGATATATTGCTATATTTATTTATATATGCTGCCTTAACATCCATTCGCCTGTTGTCGAGTAGATGTAGTACATATAGAAAACACAAATGCAGAGGGCACAGGTGATGTAGTCAATATAAACGGTGAGGGCACACGTAGCCAATGTGAACAAGGGTAAGGCCTGGAGGCGTCCGTGTATATATTGTGCATGGAATGGCATTGCTATGAGTGTTGACGCAAATAGCAATACAAAGAAAACTAGGCAATAGACCGGATCGAGCATGAATAGCATCAGAAAGAAGAAGACCAGCATTGCGATCATTATGAAGAGCATAAGGCACCCAGTTAGCAGGCCGCCCGGTAGCCATGGCATCGGGCACAGTGCGCCCATAACATGAAATATGAGCACCACAGCGAACGATATGGCCATGCCGCACAACAGGACTGACCACTCGTACAAATGCATTGCATATGCGGCGCCCAATGTTGTCGTCAGCACAATCAGTACGACCAGTATCCAGTTGAGCGGAAAGATGCGCTGCGTCTTCGGACAGCATTGCAATATCAGCATTGACACTCCGCCCAATATGAACCATACAAAGAAGGGCACTGGCACCTCTTCCATCAGATTAATATCCATGATCGATATGGTAATCCATGTGACGCAGCTGATCAGTATGAAGAAGAGTGCCCATAGATACGTCGAACGTATAAATCGTTGATATAACTCCTCTGGTATAATGACTACCACATGATTCCCATCGGTACGTATATTATCCGGAGCACTGCCACGCGCAAATATTATCTGTGGCGGCGGTTGTTGTTGTTGCTGCTGTTGCTGTTGCTGTTGCTGCTGCTGCTGCTGCATCTGCTGGAGCTGACGATGTAGCATCTGTTGTCGTTGTTGTTGCTCATGCTGCTGCTGTTGCCGCTGCAACTGCTCCAGCTGCCGCAGCTGCTCCTCCCGCTGGAAGCGAAGTGTTATCTGCCGATTAGTCGGCTGCATTTTGTATACAGTAAAACCTATAAATTTATAACGCAACGTTTAAAGAGTAGTTAAATTGACAATAGAATCAAAACTGCTTTGCCAATACACAGTCCCAATCAAGAGCATCTCTTATCAGCTTAGATATAGGCATATAAGTACCTAGAGACTCCTCATGTTCTCTAAGAAAACGCAAGTTTTTTCTTGAAAAGCTTTTCAAATATTGTCAATATTTCTGTGTTCAATACAATTTGTATTAAGTGCATATTTTTTATTTATAAATATTTTATTTTTACTACTTTGCATTTTAAATTTCTTTATTTAAATATGTTTTGATTAATTTCAATTAAGCTTCTAATCCAAATAAATAACGTCTAATGTCTGCCTTTTTTCCAATTTTTTTCTTTTATTTATTTTTTTTCAATTTATGTTTAATATTTGTAAATATTATTATTATTTTAGGTCTTTTAAAAGAATTGTATACAAAATTAATAAATAGTTTTTGTACTTCATTTGCATTATATTAATTTTTTTACAATATTTAATAGGATTTTAAATTGTTTTTATTTAAAACAATTCGTAAATTGAGCTTTAAATTATTTACTTTTTGATTTTATTTTATATTTGATATGTATGAATGAACTTAAATATAATATATATTATATTATTATATTTATATAATATTATTTTATATAAATAATATTGTTTAAATTGATATATATTATTTAACGATATTAATTTAATTCTTATGTTTATTTATTCACAACAATTTTATGTGAGCTCTTATTATATTATTATTTTCCACATTATTGCCTTTTAATTTTATTTATTTTTAACTATATACTATTTATTTACTTATATGTTCTATTTATTTTTTAAATGAAGTTTATATTATTTTTTATTGCTTAATAATTTATTTATCTACTAAATATTACTTTTTTTAATATATTATTATTATGAATTATTTTGCTAAACAGAATATATGTTATATTTATTTTTCAAATATTTGTTTAAGAACATTCACATTGAATGGAGCTAACATCGCTTATAGGTTCTGAATAACCAGTTCCACAAGGCCCACAAAAAGCCAACAATAAAACAAGCAATTCTACCAAATATTTAAAAAATCATATATTTAAACAGCATTACAATTGATATTACTTATAGAATTACGGATTCATATTCATATATTTCTTGTCAATTATTCGCTGAGGTTCACCAGTTGAAAATCCACAAATAATAGTAAATAGCCATGGAGAATAGAGTGTAGTGCATGCAGATAATAACAGCACAGCTAACATATTCCTCCATGGGCACTTGATATCTGCGGCCGTGCACGATTTGAGCATGAAACAGCGACATGGGTATCGTTGCAAAGAAAAGGATTCCAAAGTAGATAGCGTGATATTTGTTCTGATCCGTCACTATGAACAAAATGAGGACTGTGGCGCTGGCGATTGTGAACACGATAAGAATTATGGAGAAGCTTATGATGCCGGGCAACACAACCATAGGCAGCAAGGCACCCAGTAGATAAAAGATGAAAAGAGCACCGATAGAGCCCGCGGAAGCAGCCAGAATATTGATGATCGAACGATTGGGCAGTAGCATCACAATGCCCAGTACGACGGCCTCCATAAATATCGCGGTGAAGACGCATACGAACCAGAAGTGGGCGCGCCAACGCATGCAGAAGGTGAGCAGCAAAAGCGCAGCGAAGGCCACCAGCATACAGATAAATCCGGGCAGCAAAAACAGGCGAGTACTCTTTACTAGCGCTGTGAACTGCAGCCACTGCATTAAGCTAATCACGATGCAAATGCTGCCCAGTATATAGCAGCGTTTCATAAAGGTTATCTTCTGAGCCGTGTCATTGTGCGCCTCGGCGGGCTCATCGAAGTGCAGCACATATCGCAATTGTCGCAGCGGCCGCTGCAGTGGTGGCTCCTGCGGCAGTTCTGGCTGGCCCGGAAAGTGGTGCAGCGGCAACTCGTACGGCCAAAACTCCCAATATCGTCTCGGATTCCAGCTGAACATTTTCTTATCAATCGGTCGACTTGCAATTTTGACAATGTAAACAGTGCTCGCTCGATCAGCTCAGCTCTAAGACTCAATTGCGTGCAGTGGTCCAAGGAAGAATCAAAAATATTGTTGTGAGTAAATATATTTTATAATTATATATTTTTGCAAATTTGTGATAGACTAGCCGATGCCCTAAGTCCCAAGACAAGCTGTCTTTTAAGTATAAATCGGTTTAGCCTGAGTCTATTCGATCTTAGTGAACTGCATCCACTTGTCAAAAAAAAATAAGAAATATTTAGTCAGCGCCTACGTTTTCTTTCTCCGTCAATCTTAAAGTTAGGCCCAATGCAATATAAATCTAAGAATCATTCATATCTGCAGATAGTTGGATATAACTGAATGGAAATGACGCTCTTTTCTGTATGCGAGCTACAATCGCATTAAGCCAAATTTGCTCGACTTTCATTAATTAATTACTTAATAGTTATTTTATTTTTTAAGTTGATTGATTGCTAATATTTATAAATATATTTCTAATAAAAATTTTCCTAACATATATATATATAAAAACAATTTTTTTAAATGTTTTTTTTTATTAATTTTTCATATATATGTATATATATATATATTTAAATTTTATTTACTGAAAACTGTATTATTTATTATTTATAAAGTGTGTATTTTGTATATTATTTTTATTTATATTTAAAATGCATTTATTTTGATATTCTTAAAAGTATTTTTTTTAGTCATTTATTTTTTAAATCTATTTTATTTTATTGTATTATTATTTATTTTTTATTTCGTTTATTGATGGATAAATAGTTGTTTTTTAATTCATTTATTTTTTTTTTAATATTTGAAGTGCTAATAAAAAATTAAATTATTTATTGAAAAAACTTGAATTGGTATGAATTGCATTTTCAATAAATTTTAAATAAACTTTTATATTTTAAGATTTTTTTTAATATAAAAGGCTTTACTTCCTAACATTTTTATATTTGTCAAATAAATATTCCATATATAAATATCAACATTAAACTACATGGCCTGCGTGATTTTCTCATCTACTTAGCTTCCATCTATGTCTATCTGAAACGTGTTTGGTAGCAAAGACATATTAGATAACTAGATAATTAACTAGACTTTTAACAGCATGTTAAATGATGAATGAGTAATATGCCATTTGAGCATCTGTCTGTAATTTTGTGAGAAGCCCTACATGCGCTATCTCTATTTACGTATCTGTTGGCCAAATGTCTCGGTTGTAACCCTTTTCTGTCGTGTCTATCGCCTCGTTTGAGTGTCATGAAAAAGCCGCTACTGTTGGCAGTGGAAAATGCACCGAAGCATGCACGAATCGACAGCAACAAAGGCTGCTCGGAAAATGTTAAGTAGCAGCGATCAAAGCTAACAAAACAGCCACAAAAGGATGCAGCGATAATAAGGACAACGACTGCCATACCTCCCCTACCTTGCGTACCTTCCTTACCCTACTTACTCCGCGTTGTCCCTGCGCTCAACATTGTTTGTTGTTATTTGGCTGATCGCTTGAATGCCACGCAATGGATATGAGAATAAAGGCAAGCAATAGAAGTGTATCTTTGAGATGCGAGCACCGCCGCATCTGCGGCCTCCATCACCTATCACGATCACTTTTAGCAGCAGCGGTCGCGGCATTGTCTTCCGATGTATATATAAAAAAATGACTCAATCAGTTGGCTGGCGCTTATCCTTGATCCTGCTAAACACATGCAAATGCTTTTTCCATTTCCAGCCTCAGAGACAGACAACCAGCAGCAGCAGCAGCAGCAGCTGCAGTTAATATAATATTTTCCTACTGTCTAATGCCACCCTAAGAACTTCAGCTCTTGTTAGACTTGAGGAGTTTTCAATCAAATCGTTAACTTTACCTATTTGCTTGATTTTCCGCAGGCCTGCTCGAATGTGATACATAATACTTAAATCGTATAATTTTATCAGCTGAGTGTCTACTTCTAGATACGTAGTTTGTATTGCTTTATTACTTCATAGGTTGGCCTAGATACTAACGAATGAAGTTGGCCAGGTCGAAGCTTTCTTCAGCCCCTCCTTCGTCGAATGCTATTTCGCTGTAAGTGCAGTCGGCGCTTTACCTTAACTTAGAAAGGAGCTTAAGAGTAACCATGACCAGAGATGAAAAGACGTTTCAATATTCTCTCATTTTAGTCACAGCGTGTAGCTTGCCTTTTGCTTAACCATTTTGCCTTTCAAGGAACCAAAGACTGCTGTCTCTTTGTCGCTTCACTTTGCCGGAGCTTTCATAACTTTTTGTGCTCTTGGTTACAGCAGCTCCTCCGATGCTATCCCCTAAAGCTTCTGTTCTTTGCATCAATCGCCTCGGTTTCCGTTTTACTTCTGCTATTAAAGTCCCATTTAAAGGCTAATACTTTAATGCCATATAGTAGTATTTGGATTTGTAACTGTCATTAGGATTCTTTCTTCTATGCATCCATAAGCCTCTCTTCATCCATAAACAATTTCTATACTCAGAGAGCCTGTTGCTATTGCTATTTAAAATGCTGTAGCCTAGTTAGTTGACTGTCCTTTGAATTCACATTAAGTTGCAGCTTACTCGCATCTCTATTTGGGTGGGAAGCTGCTTCTCCGAAAACATAAGTAAATCCGTTTTTTTGGGTGTCCAGTTCCAAGCCTCGGCAGCTTCGGCAACTCTGTGTGCGGATAGGTGGTTGCTACGAGTCTATTGATAAGGATCCATCTCCTAAAGATAAAAGTCATCTATCGTGTAGGTTCTGCAGGCAAGGCTTACACCAGATCTTCTATAAACAGACTGCAAAAACAGTTGAAAAATTTAACTCCATTCACATTCACATTCACATTCATTCGATGCAGATTCGTTGTGGCGGCACACATTATCGGACGAGAACAAATTAAGATCGAGTTGAGGTCAATGAACGATAAGAATTCTTGAATTGACAAAAAGTTGGGAAAGTGAAAGCGCTTCGGCAAGTGCTCGACATGCAAACGAATGCAGTGGAGCAGGCAGCAGCGCGAGAGAGGTGAGGTAAATATACAGAGTTGTCCGCTGTCCGGCCACATGACACACATGCAACAAACTAATGTGGAGAGGAGATTTTGCATGCGAGGCATGCGAGAGCCAACGACAACAACAACAACAACAATATGAATCGCTTCGGGCCGCAAAAAGCACAGTCCAAAATGCGCACAGAAGCGTAACGAACGAGACACAAACACACACAAGAGAGAACACAGATGTAGACACAGATGAGCGGAGCCGTCAGCTTCAGGCGTGGGTCAGTGGAGAAGGCAAAATAGCTTGGGCACAGGTTCATATATACATATATGCATCATATATATATACATATATATATATATATCTGGCTGGTCTCTATGCGCTGTCTGTACAATTTATAATATTCTATTAGTTCCACGACCCGAACTCGAGCTCGAGCTGGAGACCGAGCCGAGGCAGCGCAGTTAGCGCAGATAATACATCCGTTTCCGGTTAAGCCCATATTTTTGTGTCATTTAGTAAGTAGAGAGTAGATGGGCAGTTGGAGGGACGGGCGGGAAGGGGCTAGTCGCAGCGAGTGCGACTGAAACAGACAGCTACAGATGCTGATGGCTAGACAGCCCACAATGCCAGTGACATGCAGCTCGCAGTCGGGTTAATGCTAACGGGAATGGGCATAGGCATGGGCATGAACATGGGCGTAGCTTGGGGAAGAGGAGAGACAGAGAGAAAGAGAGAGTGAGAGAGACTTGGGCTAGGGTCTGGGTGTGGGCTTGGGCACGGGCCTGGCATCAAGTGATGCGACAAGTGCAGTCGACGCTGCAACGTTGCTGAAGCGGAATCGTCAACGTTTCCGCATATTTCTCATTTCCACAATTAAACATTTGCGAGTTTAACGTTATGGAAAACTGCTGCTAGCTGCGAGCCACCCCAAAAACTTAGAGTGGGGCAATTTGGGCCGCTTGGGGGTTTGTTTCTTAGATAAATCAAAGCTGCAATTAATAATGCAGTTACGCTGGGTCCACGGCAGCAGCAGCAACAGCAGCCCCATGCACACGGGAAGCTCAAATGGAGCTTGGCGCTTGAAATGCCATGTAATTATGTATGCTCCCCCAACCCCGCCTAGAAGCAGAACCTGCTCGCTGCTCCCTTTGCAGCGGAAGTTACGTTGTGTCTCGCCCCTGCTGGCACCTTATCTCCCTGTCTGGCTGTGGGCAATGCCAAAAATTTCCTCATCTGGCTGCATTTTTAACACTCAGCTATTAATGAGCTATGCAGGTGTTCTCTTCAGCTGCACAGGTGAGCTGTGCAATGAATCAGCAAGTCGACGCCAACAGCTGTGCAAATATTCAAATAGCTCGTAAATAGCTTTTTCTTGTCATCAATAAAACAGAATGTAAACAATTCACGAAACGTTTTGATTATCTCTCTCTATATATATTTATATTTAAATATCATATACATATCTATATATTCTCTTTTGTTCAGCTTGACTAATTTAGCAATCAGTTTCAGTTTTGTTTCCTATTAAACCACAAATTAACATTATAATTGTAATTATAATATTATGTTCGACAAAATTTATTTAATTTCTCTGCCTAATTTCTAAACACAAATTAAATAATTACTGCATAAATTATTTACACACTTAGTTTAAATTCAACATTTAAATAATTGCATAATTTTGTTAATTTATTAATCGCAGCGAATTTCGCATATGTCGAACTTTTTGGCACAGGCGAGCGACATGAGTACCCAAAAATCAAAAATGGAATATTCATAAGCCAAGAAAATTAAAAGTTGGCGATACTTTTTGAGCAGATCTAGTCTATATATATATTTTATATTATTTTTTTTATTTTAGTTTTTATTAAGTTATTTTATTTTATTATAAACATGTTATAAATTTATATATTTGCTTAAATATTTTAAACAGTCCGAGTCTATATGAATTTAAATTTTGTATTATTTTATTTTTTTTTTAATTTTTACATATATATTTTTTTGTTTTTTTTTTTTTTTTTTTTTTTACTATATTTTTTTTCAATTTTATATTTTTATTATTTTCTTTTATGTTTTGTTTACATATTTTTTTTAATAATAATAATAATAATATAATAAATAATAATAA